TTTTTTTTTTTTTTTCTTCCAACGAACGGCTACGGGCTGTTGCGTCTGTAATCAAGATCCTTTTTTTTTTCTTGCCGTCCGCCTTGCCGAGATAGAAAGGCGGGGGTGCTGCTTTTCCAGTTGGTGTTGGGCGGCAGTCAAGGGAAGCCTCGGTGCTGCTGAAGATCCGCGCGTGGAGAGAAGACTAACCCGGCCTCCTGCAGAGGGTGTCCCGGCCTCTCTTTGTTCTGACAGCTGTTGTGGGCTGCGCCGTTGCCTTGACCCTAAAGTTGAGGCGTTTGCTCAGAGGGAAGCTCTTCAAGCGCTCCCCCGCTCTTCCCTCCCCCCCGCCGCCCACCCCCTCCCCCTCCCCCTCCCCTCCGGTTCGCTTGGTACATCTGAAGGGGTACTCCCTAGCGTTGATTACAGAACTTTCCTTCTGTCTGCTAGGGGAGGGGGTGGCCCTTGAAGAGATGTATATAGCTGCAGCACCATGTTGGTGGTGGTGATCTCAAGACAAATAACACTATCGTGTAAATGTTTATGGGCTCCCTCGGTTTTACTGTATTCACCAACTGTAACTCTGGCTTAATAGCATGCATACACCTGTGGCAGAGAGCAGTGGCTCCAAGTGAATGAGCTCAGTGGGGAAGGAGCTACAGAGAAGATAACTGCTGTATGAGCAGATGCTGAGAGTTTGGTCCCTAAAAAGAGATAAGGGAGCTACTCCAAATGGAAAATGGGGACATGGTTTGGGCAATGTTGCATGGCCTGCAGGGACCAGACACACAGTGCATTGTTCTCAGCAGTATTTTAGTTGGCATATGGATCTGATTTTGAAGGCCAGCAATGTTTTAATTAATGCTTTGAGATACAATTGTTTGAGTTATTTAATCATGAAACAGCTACTCCCTTAAATAATAATCCTGGACTGTTTTTCTAAGCTTGCCTCACTTATCTGAACTGTGCAGCCGAAGATAAAAACTAGGAGAAATTCAACAGTTCGCCATACAATTAAGTAAGAACTTCCAATCCTTCATGTTTCTGCTAGTTCCTAGTAAGTCTACACAAGGCAACTTATCACGAATAGCAGGATTGCATTGCAAGTAGGATGGTGACTTGCAATATTTGGTGGCAAATATTAACTTTCTCTTTATGGCTGAGTAGGCCATTTAAAACAAAGCTAAAAATCTAGTGTCTTAATAAGACATATAGATGCAATTGTTTTGTTTATGAGAACAAATTCTTTGAAGTCAAATACATTATAGCATTATTGCAGGTGGATTTGCTATATTTAGCCATATCAGTTGTTTGCTTTTTTCTTTAAGTCTTACTTGTGTGGCCTTTTAACTTTCGCACTTGAGAAGCAAAATGCCAGGCTACCAAAACAGTAACTCTTCTTCACTGCCAAATATTCCGTTGTAAACATGCTGTGTTAAAACTTTCTTGGCTGTGGTGTAACCTTTCCTAGACTATAGTCTACCTTCATCAGATATAGAAAGGACTGGAATCTTACATTGTATTTTCTTGGTTTTTAATGCACGCTTCACTGGAAATCATTATTTAAGGCCTGAAAGATTTCAAATATGGATTGTTACGTTTTCTTGCATTGTGTTGCTTTTTAAATAACTTTTGTTAAGTGCAGATTCCCACTGAAGCAAGCTCTCCTGCTTATGTCACTTAAGAACTTTCTTCTTTTCCAAGCATCAGTACTGTAATTTGCCCAAGAAACTAAGTTGCAAGGCCAAGTAGTCCCAATACCAAATTACATGTTTATCTTCCAAAGGCATTAGAGTAGGTGTCCATATGTGCTGCACTGCCACCGGTGTCATGCTGGGGAAGAAATGTAGAGCATCTATCTTTCAATGTAGTTCTAGCCCAAAAATGGAGAATCCATAGGATTCCAGTCAGTGTGGATAGTGATCAGAAGATCATAGGAATTATAGTTCTTCACCTTTGTTTTTAGCTGCTAGTGTATTTGTTAATGTGAAAGAAAACATTGGATGTGAAAGAATCCTGGTTAGGGATGTGCAAAACTCTGTTCAAAATGGGTTGTTACCAGAACTGTTGTGAGGGTATTTCAACCATACTGGAGGTATTCATGTCCTTGAAAGGAGTGTTTTGAACTTGGAATATTTATGGTAGAATCAAAATAGCTTTGGCACTCTTCTGGTAAATTCAGCACAGCTATCTCAACAAGACACATCACCAGTCACAGTAAACTAATGAACTGAGATACAGCAAATAGGTAAAAGTATATTTAAAAAGTAACTCTCCTGCTTGTAGATGAAATTTGAAATATAAGAGTTGGTTGCCCTTTGTAGCATTAAATATAATGAGCTAAAGTCTCAATTTAGTTCAGGCATTAAATTTGTTATAAATCTTTGCATTGGGAATCAGCCATCTTCATTTTTGTGCTATCCAAAAACATGTGAGCTGTAGAAACTTTTCACACGTGCTACATATCCATCATGTTAGTTCCTTACAAAGTAAATGATATTATGTAAAGTTCAGAGAGAGTAAATAGTAAGAAAAAGAAACTAAAGGTAGAAGAAAAAAATCTTAAGTTTATACTAATTTCATTCTGTTTACCTTGCCATTGTCCATATACCAATTCATTGCTTTCTGTTCTTTAAACTTCTCTTTTTTTGAGGATTATCAACTTTATCCAGTCATGACTTTCTTGGTCTTCCCTTTCCTTGTGAGCCATTTCTCTTTCTTCATATATTTGTTATGCAATTCAATCCTCATACATTGGCTCTATATGACCAAATTACTTCAGTGTATTTATTATATACTAGTCATTCATTTTTGTATTTGGTTCACATTCCTTCAGTGTTTATTCATTCTTGACCCTATCTCTGCTTGTTTTATACTTTTTATGTAACTGAACTCGACTTTTATGTTTGTCTTAATTTTGCCAACTCTCACTTTCATATAACAAAGTGGACACAAACATGCTCTTATATATGGTTACATATTTTCAGTTCTTTCAAGTTTAATTCATTCCTCTCAACAAACCACATACTACTAGTGCCTTTTTACCAGACATTTCATGTTTAAGAACAGTGTTTTTCAACCTTGGCAACTTCAAGATGTGTGGACTTGAATTCCCAGAATTCTCCAGCCAGAATTCCCCAGCATGCTGGCTGGGGAATTCTGGGACTTGAACTCCACATATCTTAAAGTTGCTAAGGTTGAAAAACACTGCTTTAGAATCTCTCCCTCCTTAAAGGTATACAAATTCATCCATTTCCCTTGCTTTTTTACCACTGAATTGAACTTCAAAGGTTCACTCAATTTTTCTTGTCAAACACAAACTGGTTTGACAGGAGCTTTTCAGAGGGAGAAATTAAAGCTACCAGATAGTTCTCATCTCATCTTGCAAGGTGTATTCATAGCACTGTACTCTGAAACAAAGTTAATATGAAGATTGTACAGTTAGCAAAACTCTGCCTCTAATTGTTGGGATGATTCAAATTAATTACACATTCAGAACTTTCCTCCTCAGGAGAAGGAAGATCAAGAATAGGTCTTTATATGTGCTACTCAGCATATGTAAACACCTGTTGACTTTCTCTCTTCTAGCAGTTTTTGTAATTTAAATTTGGTGTTGACAAGCACATTCCACAAGATTGGCATTTGAGGAAAGCTATTGAAATTGCAGAGATTAATGAATTCATTGGTTCTCTTTTCAGGGAGAAGAGTTGTAGCTCACAGTTTTAATCAATTCTGAGACAAACTTATATATTATGACAAAAGATGCCTATGCGTGTGTGAATGTCTTAACTTGAAATATTAACCACGTCCACCTAATGCTTTCCACAATAGAGAAGTTGCCTAAAATTGTCCTAACCTTTGGGGCCTCTTGAGGTGGGATTTTGTCCATTGTAAGCTTTCCCAGATCTCCATCCCCCAGTATCAAGAAATGCTACTGTGTAGTGCTAACTTCTGGCCAAGACCTTTTCTTAAGTACTTGGTGTGTACAAAAAGTAGAATCTTAAGCTGGACCTTGGCAGAAATCAACTTAGAGCACTTGCTGTTTTAGTGAGGGCTAAAAATAAATACACTGTATTAACCTTGAGGTGACAAAAGTAAACATCTAAATGATGCAACAAATTAGGAAAGGCTTGCATCATGCTGAACTTCCTTGACCTTTAAAATATTGAATTTCAGAGTGTTCTAGACAGGTAAGCCTGACTGCATGTGCTGAGAAGCATATCTTATTGTACTTCATTCAGATCAACTTAATAGGAGATGAGGTATGGTACAGTGATGCTTAATTATGCCCTGTGTGTAGAAAGTTCAAACACAAGTCCACCCTAAGTTTCATTGTATTAAAAACTATTATTATGGTTGGTCACACAGCCAGATGTTTTGATTGGATTTGCCATTTTTGTCCACCTATCGAGTCCTTCCAAAGGACCTAGGATAGGCAGATGTTGTTTGATGGTGTTAAAGTTATCGTCACAGGATATAAGCTGTTCTAAGTAAAGCTGCCTTTTGCAATTAACTGATGTTGATTTTATCAATGCCAATGGTCTTCAAGTAGTGCTCCAGATGTTTTGGGATCGCACCTAAGGCGCCTATTGGTACTATCTTTGT